GCAGCATTTAATACTATGATTAAAAGGGCCTTTTCCCACTCGTCCACCACGCAAGCCCTCAACACCGAATTGAATTATATCAAAAGGATAGCAGCCAAGCACGGTTACCATGGTCTAACACACCGTCTAATTGAGCGACATCAACGCTCACAATATGCACCCACTACGCGTACGAAGACCAATACTGACCAGGATGAACGTACATGCCTCCCAGTCACCTTTAACCCATATGTTAAAGCGATATACGCTGAGATCGCCGGAAAACAACAATTACAAATAGCCTATAGAAGATGCCCAACAATCTATGACATCCTCAGAAATGGAAAAGGCAGTCCAGTTCATAGCAGGCTTCCTGGCGTGTACTCTATCCCGCTGAAAGATAACAAATGTAACGAGAACCTTGTCTGTATCGGCTCAACCAAGCGAGAGTACCAGAGTACAAGAGCATCAAGCAGACCTTCGGCATGGGTAGTACACCACGGCCCTAACCACCTTTGCATCCGATCCCAATATAGAACCGGAGTTCGACAAAGCTGACATCATCGACACTACACCCCACCTGGAACATCTAAAATGGCAGGAAGCTATATCCATCTGCAAGGCTAACCACCTGACCACATGTATAAACCGGAAGGATGAGATTAATCTTTCTATAGCGTGGCAGGTCCTCATAAATGACGATCTATAAATATCAACATCAGCGCACGATTGCGCATGACCGTCTTAATGATTGTTCGTTATGCGAGTTTCAGATTTTTGTTTAAACATCTGCGTTCTATTTTTAGATTCGGTTTTTTATTTAAATATCTATGTTCCGTTTTTTGAAGTGTTCTGTTGGAATTTTTTCTTTACCTGAGGAAGAGCTATCTCAACAGCTCGAAAACGTTTGTGAAAGGAAGATTTTTTCACACAAAATTACACCAGTAACAGGTTCCGTATTTAGTATCTGGGTAATTATTTTACTCCACAGGCTTCTTTTTCTTTTCACTTAGATAAATTGTTTTTGAAATATAAACTTCAGCTTTCTAATTTAATAAAGCTGATGGTCAGAATGAAGCAGTCTTCCATTAAGTCGTATTATCGATTGTTTGATTCCTTGATACATTCAAGTTTGGGGTATATGTTCCCTATTTGGGGACCATCTTTTGTTGACAAATTGGAGAAGATGCAATTGAGATTTATTAGATCAATATTTCATATTAATCGTTCGGTCCATGGACCTGTTTTAAGATTTGAACTAGGTCGTCCACCAATGGCTATACATTTAACAATGACTATTTTTAGATATTGGAGTAAAATTTTGGAGTTACCAGATTATGACCCTAGAAAGTTGATTTATAACAAATTGAAATTAATAGGTGGAAATTCTTCATTTGTAACTTGGTCTTCCTCAGTTGAAAACTTATTGTCTGAATTAGGTTATTCTACTGACTATTATGTTCAGGTTTCAAATAGAAAGCTTTTTATGGCTGAAATATTTCAGTCATTAAAAGATAAATATTGGGCTCAAGATATTCAATATATTGAGCAAAAGAGTATGTTTTATGAGACTTCCTTAATAGCTCCATGGACACCTCGACATTATTTATTATCAAATTTAAATTATAATGTTAAATCTTTGATAATTCAGTTGCAACTTAATGACTATACTATTGTATTAAATAGACGTAGAATGAATATTTCTGCCCATTCTAACTGCCCATTATGTAACCGACTCTGTGAAAGTATTAAAACCACTTATTTTTATCTTGTGAAATTACTGAACATTTAAGAGATAATTTATTGACAACTGATTTTGATATGTTTTGTTTATACGATGATAGTTTAAGCTCTGACATGCTATTTAAAGTTTATAAATTTTTCTGTTATTTATTTAACATGTTAATATAACATTATTAATTAAGCTTTAATATCTTTAAAACCATGTATAACAATGTTTGTATTTGTCAATATTACAAGATCTTGTAACCCCTTTGTAAAGGCGAAAGCCGTAACAAATAAATGTTGATTGATTGAAAAAAAAAATTTGTTGGCATTGTTTATAATAATTTAACAATCTATTTATCATGTTTATGTGTGTGGATTTCATTTTAATATGAACAGAAATCTTAATTCTCACTTATGAATTTCTATATGTGGCTTGTATGAACTTTTGACAATTTTCACAGGAGCTGACTGACCTTAGCCAATGAGATAATGGCCCATCTGAATAAAAATGAAGGAAATGCTAATAAGCATAAGGTAGAAGTAAAAGCAAATGCTTTAAGGAAAGATAGAAGCAAAAACCTTTTCTCTGTTTGGTATGAATAATAATTATCTTATACTTCCAAGCAAATGCTTTTGGTAAACAAGTAAAAAAAAGGTTAAAAGGTTACCCCTTTTTATATGTATACTAACTGAAGAGGGACTATCCCGATAGTCTGAAATGCATTTTGGTTATTTCATGTTAATTACATATGTATCTAATTTAATGCACACCACTTCTCGTTTTTATTAAATGTACTCCATTGATACCTGGGTGTTTATGCTTATTATCACTGGTGTGATAAGTCCTTATTATCTACCTCACATTAGTAGGTTTTTTAATTAAGTAAAATGTTCTTGATATATAGGTTATGACACATTTAATCTCGTCCCTATGTTCTATTTTATTATTTGTATTCAATTCATATTAATCATATGCATGCTGGCCTTTCTTAATTAATTTAATAAGTGTAGATTTTCAAATTTTGCAATTTATTCAACCAGAAATGATGGAAAATGATATAGTACTTGAAGTTTTCAGTGGAAGATGAACAAAAGTTTTCCAAAATTCTATGGTATGGAAGAAAACAACAATTTATCATCATAAAGTTTAAAGACAGTTGTTTTTAATCATTCAGAATCAAATCATTATTATAAAATCCTGAATGATAAATAAATTCCTACTATCATCTGTATGTCTTTTCTTAATCTTGCAAATGGAATTAGATGAAATATGATTAAAAATTGAAGCCTGGCATTGTGATGATGTCACAATAAATAATTGCTTGTTTTATATAATAAATGTTTACATAAATTACATATTATAATTTATTTTAAGTTACAGATGAGATTATAAGCATGTGTGTGTGTGTGAGAGAGAGAATTCTAAATTATATTCTTAGATAAATATATATCTTGTAATGTTTATCAAATTTTGTATTATAACATATTTGTGAATAAATTGGCAGTTACCAGTTTTTTCTTTTTTTATAACTGGACTGTAATGATATTTCTGATTAAGTGATAGGAGACTATCTTTTTATGTACAAATAAAAACCTAATTCAGATAATATAATTATCTTCTAAGTGCAATTGAACTTATAATTTTTTTGTTTTATATAAGTAAATTGATTTTGATCCTAAATATGAATTTATATGTTTTTATTATTTTTAATTATCTTGTTGTATAATTGACAAGACTATGTCTCATCTATAAAATTGCACTGCTGTCAACAACTGAACACCTTAGAGGTATGAAGGAGTACATGTCAGCATTTGCAATTTGGCACAGATTATTTGTTGCCCAAATCATATGAACATAAAAAAACCAGACTTGTAGGTAGTCAGGGGACTGAGAACTGGGTCAAAATAAAATACAAAACGGCGAGACTGTTTCTACAAACAAGCGCGAGTGTGAGATTTGCACATGCATTGCTTGCAAACTGAAACAATAAATAAATGCAAATGCAATGTAAAATTTTAAAGATATTCACAAAACATTTTGTATTTTAAAAATTTGATTTGATATTTAAAATTCAAGAAGTTATTCTTTATAAAAACTTTAATTATAAGATTCAGTAGAAAGAATATTTCAAATAGTATCTTTGATTTTGAATTTCAGTTTTGCATAGGTTTTAATTTAAATTCACATATAGCAAGACATAGTCTTGTCTCAAAAATGGCTTTGCTGTTTTACTTGTTTGATAGTATGATTGATTGATTTTAAATTTTTCTGTTTTGTTACATGGATAATTTAAGATTATTAACTGAAATATTTTTTAGTATTAATATGGCAAATATATACCTAGTTAAGACCTTAGTCTTTATAGAGCATTTTTCTTGTTTCTTATATAATACACTCATATATATAGTAAACTTTCATACAATGATTTTCCACCAGAAAGTGTGGAGGGTTCATTATATAGAAAATTTGTCAGTAATGAAAAGAAGGTGCAGTTACTATTGTGGTGATGTTTTATTATCTTAAAAGATATTTTATTTTGATATTAATACAAGCACAAGGATATCATGTATGCAATTTTATATTTAAGAAAGAGCAAATAGGAGGTGTAGTTATTATTTTCAATTTTAAAAATTTGTGATCAAAATAGTCTCACATATTTATGTTGAAAAATCATCAGTAATCTTTGTATTTTTTTTCCTATTTTACTTTCAGTGAATGATTCTAACTTTGTTTGATTATTTAAATATTTTATCTAAAATGTTTTCTTGCTGATGGAAACCATTTCTTACAGTTGTGAGAGTATTAAAAAGTTACATAAAACTGAGTTATGTGAAATCTTTACATGTACAGTACTGTACAGTATAGTACAGATATTTTACTATATTCATAATGGCTATCCAGTGGACAACAGTTGCAAAAATTGCAAAAATGAATTAAGATTTTAACTAATGTTAACATTTATCAATACATAAAGATCTATTTTTATTTATCCAGTTCCAAGTTGTTATATAGCAATTAAACTTTGCCAAAGGGACAAAAATGTCTGTATTTAGCAAAGTTTAAATCTGTCTTTTTTACATTTAAAAATAAATGTAAAGAAGACATATCTTTCAATATTCATGGAAAAATTTGTTGAAAAGAGAAATTTGTAAAAAATACATAGAAATTTGTAATATAATGTCAACTGTACATAATATTAAAGAATTTAGGATTTTATTAAGAATCTATTTAAAGTTTTAAAAATATGATTTTAAAATTTGGGAAAAATAATTTTTAAAAATACTTTTGGTAGATGAAGAAAGAATGGATGATGAAAATGAAGCTGCTAATCAGAATTCAGAGCAAAATAATCAACCGAATGTATCATATGATACTTCACTTCCAACACAACATTCTGTAAGTGTTTTAAATATAATTTTAAATATCTTTAAAAAAATTATTTTAAAAGGGTATTAAAAGGAGTGAGGCTTAAAGAGCATAAAGTGAACATCTTCCACAAGAGTCCTACAACCACATTGGCACAGTATGCCACGGACTCTGATATACAACCATTATTTAATGAGGCCAAGATAATATACACAACACAGCAGCCACACCATTTGCACTTGATGGAAGCAATATATATACATAAAACAGCCCAAGGTAAAAATTGTATCAACAGTAAGGATGAAGTATTCTTATCGATAGTGTGGCAAACTCTTTTATATGACACGTGACAAGGCAAAAGTTATGCTTCTCTCAACAGCGCATGCGCAAACAATGACAAAGATTGCACGGGTTTCCTTTGAAATTCCATTTCAGAATTCTTTTGAAAAAAGATATGTTCCATTGAATTTCATTTATTTTGTCCGTTTTTTCACCTGAAGAAGAACCGTTGGTTCGAAAATGTTAGTGAAAGACGTACTGTTCAGTTACACACCGTTTTTGGTTTTGGGTTAGAAGTGAGTCTTAAAAGGGTATGATAAAAGTATAATTTAAAACAAAAAAATGATGATATTTTAAGGTTGTTTAAAAATTTGAAGAAACTAAAAGGGGTTTTTTGATATGAAGAACTTAACCTGATTGAAGTGCATACTTGCCAACCTTTAGAAAAGGGAACAGCTATGAAGTTGGTAGAAAAACACTGCTTTTTGAATAAAAATGCTGACAGCATAAAATGCAAGAAAATTCTATATTAACATTGATGTTGCACAATGCTTATATTAAATACCTTAAAATTAAATTTTGTTTATTAATCTCTATATATGATATCATGTAAAGCTATTGCCATAAACTTCTGTTTAAGAGTATGGCAACAGCTGTATACTCTTTAACATCACAATTTAATAAAGATCAAGTATTCTACGGGACACATATAAATCACACCACTACAGGGCACTACAGTCTAGCAGCCGAGAAGACAAGACAAAGACATCATAATTCCACACCCAGATTTATCATGTGTTCCATCTTGATGTGTTAAGTCTTGATATTGCATGATGGGTGTCTCCTGTTAGATGGCTTTGTGCGATGTTTTGTTTTGTTAATTTCTTTTGTTGCAGTGTACTCATGACAGTTACTATCAGTCAGTTTATTGGCTTTCACTGCAATTATTAACAGTGATTTTTCCGTTTGTGATTTATTTCCTATTATCTGTCTATACTTTTTCTTACTATATTTAATATCTTTTCTTTTTGCTACACAGTAATACTGAGGAGGCCTTGCAATGCTGTATGCAAAACCATCATCAGCCTTACTATTTTACAAAATTACAAATCTTTGTAAAACTCCACAAATCTAAAAGAACCATCTGGTTTCTTTTATTTTGAGAAAGTTCATATCATACTATATGTCCTGTTTATTCTTAAGTGAGGAATCTTATCTTCTTCATTTTGGGTGGAGAAACTGTAGCCTGCTCAATAATTTGTTCTAACTGTAAAAGTAATTTGTTTCCTTCTGCTGATGAGTCAGCCGTGATTGATTTAATCACCAACTCAATGATACTAACATTGCCAGACTTGAAGATGCAATTTATCATATCTGCTGTTTAAAATGATCATATTTAAGGTAAAATTCTCATACATATACCAGCATACATGTATAAAAGTATTAATCTTTGTTCTTTCCCAATTGAATGAATCTGAAAATGTTTTTCTGGTTTGCTTCATAATAAAATACATATAAAGTCTTTGGCATACATATTGGTATTAGACTTGTTAAATAAAGTGTTTATGTGATAATATCAAATTCTTTAAAAAAACTGACAAAAGGGAAAAGTGACCTATCCACTGATGAAGCATAGAAAATGCTGATGGTTGGCAACTATAAAACTGGAAAAGTAAGATTCCACTTATAGACAAATAAGTAAAATTGCCTCCAAGTATAACAGTCACCGAAGAGCATAACAAACTATTCCAAGAATAATTTCAAACATTGTCAGAGAAATAATCATTTGACAAGGAGATATGTAAATACAAGGTCTTTTGTTAATATTAGTTTTGTTGAAATTCACTAGGGACAGAATTGAATACTTTTAAGAACATGAATAAAGTTCTCAAGAACAAGCAATGAATATGATTTATGAAAAAAATGAGAATATGGTGTCAATTTGCTTTGTACTTGTTTTGTAATTGTACTTTGAAGTGTTACTTCATTTAAATGTGGAAGACCAGCTAGGATTCATCTACTGCTTGTAAGGTTTTGATGGGGAAATGTCAAGAGGATCAAGGGGTTGCAAAGGGTTGTATGCAGACAATTGGCACTGAGACAGACTCTATGTTACAAGAAACCATTTAATTAACATGAAAGGAGCTTACAAGATTTACACAATCTTGGTAGTTCTAAGTCAGCAGTGGTCTATAGGTCTTCCTCTCCTTTCCAAGATAGTCCCCAAATGAAGGATTGTTCTTGGTTTTTAAAAGACAGTTCACTTATCTGAAGACGGGAGATGGAGACGAAGATGGGCACGAGATACACACACACAACAATTGGTCCAACACTTGGAACTTTCAGAAGAAGCTGTTGTGTCCTTGAATCTTTTGGTTTTTATTCATTTCTGTCCTCAATCACCCATTCCAATTGATGGCTTTTCCTTGTTCTCACTTTCCAAGAGATTGATCACTCGTTACTAACAGTAATGAGATCTCAACACAGATCACAGGAGAGATCAAAATTGAAGTTTAATTCAATCGCAACCGGAGATGGCTGATCTTAGGACTTACATTCTTCCATTATTTAAAAGTTTACATGTTTTCATACAAAAAAATTATTTCTAGCTTTTTTTTTTTTTTCAAAAAAATTATTTTAATATGAATTTCACTGAGGGTTCAAACCTGTCCAGAGCCTCACAAACATCGAAAGCAGTGACGATGAGTGCAAATACTCGATACTATACTCTGGTACAAGTTATTGGAAACAATGAGAACTTTTTGCAAATCTACAATTTTCAGTTCTTGCATTTAAATACTCTCATCTTTAATTGTAATCACTTTCAATTAATTTTGATTAAGCTGAGCCTATATAAAAAATGTTATTACTATGTAAAAGTGATTTTAATATTATAACAAAATGAACCTATGTGGCATTTATGTGTACAGTTTAAAGATAAAAAGAAAAAATTAAAATACTAGGACCTGTTCAAAACAAAAAATATTCACCACTGTGGGATTATAATAATAAAATGATCGCCTAAATATTCAGGCTATAATATGATTATAAACAAATAATTAATACAAACAAATTTGGTACTAGAGGTAAGCATTAGGCACTATCTTTTATCTAAATTAATAATTATAATTTTAATAATTTAATTAATAAATTGAGATGTGTATTGTATATATACTGTGTGATTCTGGTTTACACAGATTTTACTGTATAAAGTATTCCATATAGTAAAGTACAGTTAAAAATGAATAATAAAATTAAATGATTTAATCAAGAAATTAATTTTAGTATTTACTTCAAAAATTCAAAAGATATAAAATTAATTATTACCTCAAATTAATCCAATGCTTTAGTTGAGATAGCTTGATATGTAATACATATTTCTGTATGAGGCATTCAGACATTGGAAAAGTACAGTTAGTTTTAAAATATGTGCATTATATTCATTCTTAATAATCAATAATTTAAAATTTTTCTAATTTAAATTTTATTAACATATTTGATAATGATTTATATAAGCTATTTTATTTATATTTAAAATTAAAATGTAAATGTTAATATCAGTATTTAGGTACAGATTTAGAAGAATTGAGTGGGCGTACTGTTTTGGATGACAACAGTTGTCAGTCATTGCCTCTCCTTGCTTTACGTGGAGTGGTTTTGATACCTGGTCAAACATTACCTCTTCAACTTTTTCAGTCAGCAACAGTTTCAATGATGAAACATATTATAGAAAAAGATCGAACTTTTGGAATGGTCAATTTAAGGTCAGTTTTTCTCAAGTATATAAATTAAGTAATATCTTTATAATATAGTACCAGGTTTTTACATTAAATGTAGACAATTTAATACTGAATTCTGCCAATATACATGATCTAATACCAATAATTTTCCAACCTATTTGATCCATTATTTGTTTCTATCCATACAGATGTTGGTAATAAATGAAAGCCTGACAGCTGGTTTGGAGAAAAGAATTCATTTAATGGATGGTTGATTCAAATTTATTTCACTTTGGATTATTAAAGATCATAATTAGGCTACTAAATATTTACGTCAATTACATCATTTACATGTTCTGGTTTAAAAGCACAAGCATATCTAGTTTTTCTCTGCCCAAACAAGTACAGGGAACTTTGTCTATGAAAAAATTCTCTGCAATACTAAATAATCACTGAAAATACATTTGTATGTCCCTCTAGCATATTGTTAATTGCTGATGGGACACTAGAGGGATGTCCAAGCAGATATTTTTTTGCCTGCACTTTAATTGGACTATTTTAAGATTTTCACCAGTGGGATGGATTTCCCCATTTAAAAATAGTACATGGGAGGCTGAATTTCCTATTGTAATCCTCCACCATCTACAGTCACCTGCAAAGCAGCATCTCCTGCCAAATTCACACCACCAAAAGTGACAACTATACATAATGTAATTAGTACAAATTGTAAGGAGAGGATACTCTGTCAATTTTTATTTAGTTTTACAGCAAGAAATGCCCATCACCTTGTTTGAATGCTTGCCAAAAAATGATGTAAAGACTATGTATTAAAAAAAGGGAGCATTGGTTTGTAAAACAAGCTGATTCCAATATAGTGGGAACATTTCAAAACATAAATATATTGGTATTGGATCAGTATTGGTTATCATCTTGCATTAAATTCAATATAAACTGCATTTTATAAATATTTTTAGATCAGCAGGCTCAACTTCAGGAGGCCAGCCATTAGCTTTAGTTGGAACTACAGCTGAAATTAGATCATATGGAGAGGAAAACCTTGATCATTTAAGCACACTGCGTGTAAAAGCTGAAGGCAGACAAAGATTTCAAGTTTTAGAAACAAGACGTCAAGCAGATGGGTACATTTGTTGAAATCAATTTGTGTAGAAATTCATATATAAAATTTATTTGCTGAATTTTTGATAATTTTGAGAAATATTATTAATTTTTGATAATTTTGAGAAATATTATTAATTTTCGATAATTTGTAATTCACATAGGATTCTTATAGCAAAAGTTAAGATTTTGCCAGAGATAGTATTAGAGGATCCTGGTTGTGGAGCAAGATTGGAATCACTTGATCGGTATCGAATTCCACCTCCACCTAATTTAGATCGTATCACTCTACAAATGCAGAGACTTGGCAATACTTGTGTTCTGCTTCCCAAACCAAATCGAAGAAAGGTATATAGGTTTTTTATCATGGTTAAAATAATAAAAATGAAATACATAAATAGCAAATAAAAGTTATGAAAAAATTTTTGTATTGCACAGTATAACAGACATGATTTTGCAAACTATACTTGGTGGCCTCCATGGGTATATAAACAATATGATTGTGTAAGTATAGATTTAAATAAACAAATATAATTGAAATTTTTATTACTTGATTTAATATATGTTTTTTTATATAAAATATAAAAGGAAATTCTGATGAACAGAATAAGAAATGAACTTCAAGGATGGAATCATACAGAAGGTATCCCACAGAATCCTACAGAGTTTTCTTTTTGGGTTGCTGGTAACTTACCTCTAGATGATACTCTCCGATTAAATCTTCTTGCCTTCAATAGTGCCATTCAAAGATTAAGATATGAGTTAAGCATTCTTGAAAAAGTAAGTATAATATATTTATATTGATGATGATACTTTTTAATCAAAAATATAAATGAAATAGTTAAGGAACTGCTTCAGTTTTACAGTATATTAGAGATATAATGTTTATTTTTGATAGACATTTTTATTTATTTTACTGTTAAGAAAGTTTAATGTATTTGTAAAATTTTGAAAACCTATCACACCTCGAGAAACTTAATTAAAATGAAATTATGACTGCTTTGTTTGAATTTAACAAGCTTTAATATTTTTATTCTGGTGCTTTTGTGCTATGAAGTTTCATCTTTATGACTATTACAATAAAAAGAACATGGTCAGAACAATGAAAGAACAGTATCATATGTGAGATTAGTCGGGGGCAGGATATTTAAGAGTGCTTTACTCCCCTACCTCTTAATTGACACAAGACCTTGGGGTCCAATCTCGCTTGCCTAAAGGATGGCTTCAAGTTGAATGGAAAAGGATTGTGGAGATGAGGATCGTTAGATCTTATCTCATGTCATGGTCTGACATCAATGTATCGCAGATAGATATGCGTTTTAAGTGGGATCGATGAGTAACCCAGTGACCGATTAATTAAGCATGAGTGATCTTGTTGAGGCTTCCGGGTTTGGAATGGAAGAGATATGGTTTCTCAGGAAGAACCGCACACCAGCAAGTTAATTAATAATCATATTCTCATTTATTAATATCCATATTTACACATACTTTACAGTGAACACCAATTCTTGCCCTGGACTTGAGGAGTAAATTACTCTATTAGTCTAACAGTTTTTAAGATGTCTATCTCTCGGAATCTAAGGATTCATTAGGTATTTGGAGGAGTTATTAACAATATAGAAGGGTTCCTAACCTTGACCACATTCACAGAAAGAACTTGAGAGAGGGCTTACATATCATTGTGAGTAGAATAAATACCTTGGGAAAAAGGTTGATATTCAGTAGTCTTTCAACGTCAGCAGAAAGTTCTCGGCAGTCTTGTCGGAGAACATAAGTTCGTTGACTTCTGGATAAGTCAANATTGCAAAATTCAAAAACAAAGTATTTAGAACGATATTTCAAATTGCGAAATTTGAAACCAAGGTGAATCACATGCATTCTAGGATTTGTAATCAAAAGTCATTATGTAAAGTCCTTCTTACAACGGCATAAAATGCATGCATAAAACACCTTTCTTACAATGGCGTTTTATGCATTTTTTAAAAATAAATAAAAATAAAAGATTATATCAGCAGGTTGGAGTGATGAATGTTTTAATACCCTAACTCATCTCTCCAGCCCGCTGATATAATCTTTTATTTTTATTTATTTTTAAAAAATGCATAAAATGCCGTTATAAGAAACCAGACTTTACATAATGACTTTTGATTACAAATCCTAGAATGCATGTGATTCACCTTGGTTTCGAATTTTGCAATTTGAAATATTGTTCTAAATATTTTGTTTTTCGAATTTCTCAATTTGAAATTTTGACTGTTGGTCTTTGTTCTAACGAACCTTTATGGATGAATCGTAGCTTGAAAAAGGACCCAAGAGGGATTCGAAAACATTTGCGTGGACAATTATTCATATTTCCCACCAGTTAAAGGTTTGTTAAGAGATTATTTTTGATTTACTTTAAGTTATGTTATTTAAGTTTGTAAACACAGTGACTCCAACAAAGAATTTGGATAATTTGTTCTTATTTAAAGTTAAAATTTAAACTAAAACTTCTTTTAAATTAATTTCTTATTTACTGAAAGATAAAATAATCATGAATAATGGTATTAATAATATAACTATAAATAAAGAAATTCTATAAGTAAATAAAATAAAGTATCCAAAATATTAAGCTATTAATTTCTCTTGAAATAATTAGACAAGAAATGATAATGTAGAAAAATTAACAAGCAAAAAATTGTAAATAAGAATAAAAAAATAACTCATATTAGTTTAAATAGTATAGAACTTTGTTTTTATTTCAGATTAAAAATATATAGTGTCAAAAAATTCAGTTGATTTTAGAAATTGAAAAATATTATCTTTTTGAAAAGAAAATTCTTTAAGTCAATATACTGGTATAAATTTGTTCTGTTCATTTAATAATAATTGATTTATTCATACACTTTCAAGAAATTTATGGAAAAATTTGTTTAGTGAGTTGTTAGTTTATATTGGATGATGTTAGTTTATATCCATTAGGAGTTTCATGAAAAAAATTATTAGAACAATTATTATTTTCAGGTTAATAGATTTAGTAGAATTTATAATTATTCTCTAAATAATCAGTTATGTTTTAATAAATACATATGTGGGATACTACTATGTAATTGAAATTGGCTAAAGATTTTGTAATGAATGTAAATATTAAATTTAAAATGAAATAGCTGATGCTATTTTACCATGGTGTATAAAAACAATTCATTTCTATTCATTTATGATTTAAAAAAAACTATACTACTCATTATAAAATATTAGTCATTATAAATACACGTAATAATAAAATGAGTCAGAAAGAATAATTAAATCAGTGTAATTAGTTTAATATAATAAAAAGAAAATATAAAAATTTAACACAAGAAAAAAAGTACTTAAGGAATATTACATAAAAGTTTCATATCAAATTAAATAGTTTGATAAAGTAAAAGAATGATAACTACTGTCATTTTTTTTAATCGGAAATTATTAAAACTGATAATTTTAAAATGCTAAAATTATAATGTAAATGTTCAAATTCATAATTTAATGTCCTGAGATAACATGAATCTGTCTGCAGTTAAGCAGATAGATTCTTAACAACTCAGATCCAGAGCTGGCCCTACCATAGGGTGAACGGAGCAGCCGCTCCAGGTGCTAAGTCCTAGTGAGCGCCTCAGTGGTAAAGAAAATTAAAAGAAAAAATATTTTTTTCACTTTTCGATATTTTCGGGGAGCACCATAATAGGATGTCACTCCATAAACTTGCCTTGACTTGCCAGCACTGCTCAGATCAAATGTATAACAGGTTTATTTTTAATAAGTCTATCATATGAGGGTTTTTGCATTTTAAAGTGAATTAACCAAAATCAAGTTTTTGTTGCATTTTTTTTTTTTTTTACTTATTTTTACTCTTTTGGCCTTACAGGCACTAAGAGGCCTCTTTATGCCCATTGTGTTTTTGCCAGGCCCACACATTTTGGTGAATGAGTGGTGAGATGAGTCTAAAAATATGCTCGATTTCTAACATAACAGCATCTAAATATATTTACTTATTTTTACTCTTTCTGCCTTACAGGCACTAAGAGGCCTCTTTATGCCCATTGTGTTTTTGCCAGGCCCACACATTTTGGTGAATGAGTGGTGAGGGACAAGTCTGATATATCCTGGACAGACCACTCCCTGAAAAATACCTTGGGTTGATCACCCAGATTCAATCCTGGGTTGGTCATTGGCTAGAACCAAATTTATTTCTGAAACACATTTCTCATACACAGTGATCAGAACTTTAAATAAAAAATGTTTAATTTTTTGTGTGCGCAAAGTTTAAGAATAGTACCATATAAAGCATCATTTACAATGTTTTTAATGTGAAAATTAACCAAAATAATAAAATAAGAATAATTATAAATCAGAATTCTTACAGTAAACATTGATAATGACCACCTCTTTTAGAAATATAATGCTCCCTAACAAAAAGAACGTCATAGTTTTTATAAGCCTTTAAATTAAAATAAATAACATATATAACATCATTTCAAAATGAAAAATGATTATCTTTAAATTGTTTGTTTCTACAGATATGCATGGACAATAATTCAATGTCGAGATTGTCACACTCATATGGGTTGGAAATTCACAGCAGAGAAAAATAAATCGCAGCCAGAAAAATTTTGGGGACTCTGCCGCTCATCTTTATTACCAGGAATTAAAAGTGATGGTGAAGATGAATGGAAACCACAGATTTAAGAGGTTATTTTCTATGCTTATTTTCTTCATGACAGCTAATCTGGTTCCACTCAAATTTTTGCTTTAAAGGAAAGTACCCATGCAAATAAAGATGAATTGATATAATGGAAATGTTGCACCTAACTGAAACTGAACAGACGCAAATGTTTTAATTGAATATAAGGATCTCTCTTTCTGGTGTGAAAATTGTATGTTACAATTAATCTACAGATGTTTTAGTTATTTTAAAAATTAATTAATCATGACTTATTTCCAAATATATTTATTGAGTAAATTGAAATAAAATAAAAAATATTTGTAAATAAATACTGTAATATAAATCTATCTATTCTAATACAGATATACAAAAAAAAAAGAGTAAAATAGTTTGTATAAATATTGTAAATGATCAAAAATGAAAATCTAAACAATTACAATAAGTTTTATCTACAATTAGGAATGTTTCTTCCATTGTAACTACAAAGACTGTGATATGTTTACTTTTATATAGCATAAAATGGAATAATTTCATGTACAGTACGTGAATATATTAATTAATATACTGATATATCATAATATTGATTGAATTGTATTAACTAAAACTATTTGTTTCCATGTCACATGTAGGATCTATTGTAGATTGCAGTTAAAAATAAAATACCTGCTTTCAAAGTGTGCATTGCATTGTTTTAACATCTTATTATCTATGGCATTGTGTTCTTTTTTAAAACTGATTTGTCCCTCATGATGATATTTTGTAAAGAAATGAAGGAAAAGCATCAAAACAGTAACTGCTACAGCTCTGTTTACTATCTCAGCACTGACCAACTTTAGAATAGATTAGAAAGTGTGCCATAAATATAAATTTTGAAAGCTCTAATTATTTATCTTAGAAGTAGGCATAAGGAAGAAAACTTTCAGAATTTAATATTTACTTTTCAGTAAGCACAAAACAAACTGGTAAGGTTTTAAAATTTTGTCATTTTTGACAAGACTATGTATCTTTTATAAAATCGTACTGTCCGATGTTCTTACCAGCATAGAGGTATGAAGGGGGTACATGTCGAGAGTTGATATTTGGCACAGTGTGTTAGCTGCCCAAATCATTTGCGCATAAAAAAATCCAGACTCGTAAGTAGTCGGGGAATCGAGTCA